CTGCAGAGCCCCCTCACTTGCTGCAGAGTGAGAAAACGTGGTCATGGGCAAATGAAACCTTGTCCCCGGGCCGAGCTGCCTGGCACTTAGGAGCCACGGGCCATGCGCACAGTGGCAGGGCGCCAGGGTCTGGGTCTGTAACGGACTGCTGAACAGAGGGATGGAGGGGTTGGGGTTGGGTTTTGGTTGGTTTGTTTTTTCCCTAAGCAAAGTTTTTAAAAAAGGGTTGAATCCAAGACTTGGAACAGGACTCTCCACCGTAGCTTTGCCCTTTGAGTGCGCTGTGCTTTACGCCGCCTCCGTGGTCTGAGTTAGACCTGGTTCCTCTTTCAAGATTGTTGTTTCATGGCTCCAGGCCTAGGAACGGGTCCGTCAGTGGACACTGGTTCTTCTGGGGACAACAAATTCAGGGCCTGCACAGCAGTGGAAAATGGTTTGCGTTTGGCTGGAGACAGAAAAATTACGCGGGCATGTTGACGGAGGCTTCAATAGGTAAGGAACCGACATGGTGTTTGCAAGAGGCTTTAAAGGGAAGGGCTGGCTGTTACTGGCTCATAAATAAAAGGGAGATTTGTTCTTGGAATCAATCCTGCAGAAACTTAAGGAGGGGAGCAGATTCAGCTTCCCGGTCTCTGTAACACTGGTGGAGCTGCTGCTTTCCAAGCGCTAGCGAGATAAAACGGTGAGTGAGGAGGTGCTGGTGAGAGGGGCATTTAGGAGAAGGTTAAGTGCTCTCCCAGTTTAGGGGCTACGTAAGAGCACTGGTTAAATATTCCAGGCTTCTTGCTGCATCTGTATTCAGAGCACTGGTGTTCACGCTGGATGCTGACGTTGTCACCACGAGCAACAGCAGCAGGTCCTCGCTGCGCAGCTGCAATTAGCTCACTGCAATTTCCGTCGCAGGTGGCACCGCGCGCTTCCAGCCCCTGCCCCCAGGAAGGGGATGAACATCCCCGTGCCCAGCACTGACTGAGGGGCTCCGGGACGGGCGAGGAGTGCAGGTTACCACGAAAGCTCCCCGTTGAATGAAACTGAAGGTGATAAATCTCAGGCAGCTGAGCATGGGCTGGGCTGTGCAACAGGTCCAACCAGCCGTGGGCTAGTGGCCAGCCGCAATGGCGAGTGTTTGCAGGGGCAGTGACGGCTCTCGTAGGGGCTGGGGATGGTGTGCTGAGCCAGGCTGGCCAAGGAGGGCTCTGGCCCTGAGCAACACATGGATACAGGTGACCATGTCAGGAAGAAAACACGAACGGGACATCCCTTCTGAGAGCTGTGAAGGATTGGGCTTTGGCACATGGGAACAGGCCAGGAGAAGTGGGCTGGACTCCAGCCACGGGAGGTGGAGGAAGAGGTGCGTGGGGTTGACGCAGCATGTGGGGAAAAAAGGAGGAAAGAGAGGGAACGATAGGATCAGAGCAGGGAGCCGGGGTGCCTCTCCTCCCCGGGTTTCAGCGCACACTGTTCCCAACAGCCCGCTGGGATTTTCTCTCTCTCTCCTGCCAACGGTGTATGTTGAGATCACTCCCTGCCGGCTCCGCTGCCGGCAGCAGCTGTGAGGGGAGATGGGGACCTCGGTCCAGGGTGGTCCCAGAATTCACTAGCCAGGTGTACACAGTACTCTCAGGGACTTAACAGTTTTGGCAGATGTTCAAAACAATTCCTGCCTTTCTGGTGGGGTGGAGGACACACATATGAAACAACAGCTCCTCTTCCGAGCCCGGGCCCAGCTCTGGAGGGCACTGAGGTGAGGAGGCTGATGGATGCCGAGAAGATACTGACTCACCAGTCAGAAAAACGCAGGAAAAGCTGCACAAAGAGGCTTTTGGTAGAAGCAAGGAGACAGGACTGGGAGGAGGTGAACGTAGCACCAGTGCAGTGAGACCTTGCCTTAGGCACGTGAGGACCGTACCTGTAGGGTTCCCTCCCCACCCAGGTGTGTGAGGCTGAGTGGAGCCCAACAGAGAAAACAGCCACGCTCGGAAAGTGGCAGGAACTCTTCTAACAGCACCGCAGCCAGATCTACAGCAGCATCTTTCGTGGCGGTCGTGTTGCTTTTCAGGGAGGCAGGAGAGATGGGAGAGCATGGGTTTGTTGTGGTTTTATGCCGACAAAAATATAGATGGAGTAAGTGTCGGGCAAGAAAGGTGTGTTGGTTCCAGCCGTCCCACCAAGAGTCCTTTTTGCTGGCCTGAACCGCAGTTATCGCGATAGTGTTTCCTGTTTCCACACTGCAAGAGCCGTATCGGCAGGGACAACCTGAAGCAATTTGTGTTCATTTCCTGCAGAGAGACCCATTTTTCACTGTTCTTGCAGCATGGTGACCCACGTGGTCGGCTGGGCCAGTCTCCTGCACCTGTCGGGATGCAGAAGCCGACGCAGCTGGGCTTCCTCCCAGCCAGCAGCTGCAGAAGGAAAAGCGGGATGAGCAGAATTTCCCCAGTGTTCCCACCATATTGGTGCAGCCCTGGAGGCATCTGCTGTGTTTGTTTCGGGGGCGGGCTCCTCCTCAGGGTTGTTCTGGCTCCTGCTAGGAGAGGGAATGGTGCATTCTTGTGCTGTTGATTTACGATCCCCATTCCCGCTCACTGTGCTCATTTTCTTTCTCAAAGCACATTCGGCAAAGCTTGAAAAAAAAAAAACCAAAACTGCCGCACGCGACGACTGACAGCAGTTTCTAGACCAAGTTTCCTGCGGGAATTCCTGCCATGGCCTTCAGTTTACATGCTAGGCAATGTCATGTGGAAAAGACGGCTTTACTCTGACGGCATCCCTTAAATCACGACAGAAGCCAAGACATTTACAGCTCGGCCTGTGCATGGCATCTGGAGCCCCCTGCCCCCTCGTCGTCGGGCAAGGGGCTGTATCCCCACAGAAGACCAGAGCGCTGCAACCTACGCCCATTCCCACACCAACCTACACCCATTCCCACACCAACCTACGTCCATTCCCACACCAACCTACGTCCATCCATCTCCACACCTGTTAGAATACTTCTTTTTAAAACCACATTGGATTGTACGACGAGCCACATGGAGAATGTTTATTTTGACACATCATCTCAGAAATACAGTAAATGCCTCACTGGATCGGTCTTCCTGTTCTACTCTTCTGCTGCATCAAGTTTTCCATCTCTCTCTTATTACGTTGGAATTTGTGATTCATGTTATCCCCCCTCTTCCAACTGGGCTAAATTTGTCCAAGGTGGCCTGAGGCAAAGGAGCAGATCCCTGCACAGCTTCTCCTCCCACACTGGGGAGTGTTTCTTTCTATGTTTTTTCTGTTTGCTATCTTCCCTTTTGCTGACTAGCTACGTACCCTTTGAGAATTTTCCCCGATGCCCAAACCCTAACGGGATCATCCTCGCAGAATCCCAGCCGAAACTCATGGCCCGTCTCTGCCTCCTGCCAGATTTTGCGGTACTTCCAGAGGCTGCCTGACCCCACCAGTCACCTTGCCCCTGGTTCAGTGCCCAGCAGTAGTTTCCTGATGCAGCTCCCATTTTCCTCTCTCCAGTTCTTATTTACGGCTCAGTGGAATATGAGGGTGTTCAGACTTTTTTTTCTCCCCTCTCTCTCTCTTCTCCCTGGACAACCCCCACCCTCAATCCACATAACACAAACTTCATGCAAAATTTTCCCTGGAACACACTAACGAGCCTGAATGTTTGACCAGCTGCTGGTTTGTGTTTTGAAGGAGCAGGGTGATGTTCAGGATTAGTTAGTTGGACCCTACCTGAGGCTTGACAGGCCCTGCAGAAAGAACGGGCTATCGGTTACAGAGAAATGGTGGAAGTACCCGGAGATGAGCCCATTACCACGTTAGCACTGAGAGCAAATATTGTTACTTGTCACGTAATTTGTAGGCAGAGCACCACTGAGTAAGCACTGCGGGTGTGGGGTGTGGCTGTGCCTTCTCCTCCAAAACCCAGTGCGTTTGACGTTGGTCATCAGCGTGAACGTACCTTTCAGATGCGAAACCCACAGACCTCAGGAATTTCGACGGGAGAGTGCTGGAGAGCTGAGCCAGGCCCTGGCAGCTCTGATGGGATGCACTGCGCCTGTCTGCAGCCTGCTGAGTTCTGACACCCTGAGCTGGAGCACCCCCAGGCTTGCAGACACGGCAAAGCCCGCAGCCTTTCTGCAGAGTCCCCTGGAGCTGGAAAGTCAGCGTGACTAACACTGTTCTAAAAGAAATAAGATTCTTTCCAGAATTGTTCTCCTCTGGGATGCTAAAAAGCAAGAAGAGGTCTGCCCAAGAGTAAGGTTTCTGGAAAAGCCATAAGCACTGGCTAATGGGTTCTCTGCACAAGCTGCATCAGCCCCTGCCATGTCATTCTGCTACTGGGCTTAGTTATTAGTGCCAGACCCTGCCTGGCTGGCAGGAACCACTCTGCTGAGGTCAAGGGCGCCTTTTCTTTGTGCAAGGACTAATTATGTGGAAAGATGATGCAACATCTGACCGTTTCCATTCAACTTCAACCCTTTATTGATAGCAGCGCTACCGCAGGAAGCTACTCTCTGCTTTACTCCACCAAGGAAACCAGCAGGACACGCTTGAGGAAAGACTGTGTATGGTCTCAACTTGAAATTTCCCACTGCTGGAATATTTTTTCACTTAATGTTATGGATGCAAGGAAATACCACCAAAAGCCCGGGCGCACATCTTTATTGGTCCGTGTCAGGAAAACAAACAAGGAATGCTTTCTCATTCAAGTTTCTCTTAATAATCAGAAGAGGAAAATTAGGCTAGTGAGGTCCAAAGCTAGCTTGGGGCGGAGGGATGGAGGGGGCTGGACTGGGGCTGCCACACTAGAATGTATACAGAGTGGTTCCAGGACAGCATTGCTGGCAGGCAGCAGGAAGGACAGCCCAAGGGGAAGAGGATTTTCCATTCTGAGTGCCCTGAAAAAAAGGAAATATAATGTGCTTCCCTCTCCTTCACTGTGCTCCGAGCTCAAATCACAGAGGAGAAGGGAAACTCACCTAGCTCATCTTCTGTCTCTAGGAGACCTCGGGATCCTTGTCTGATCCATCGGGAGGGTTCACTGCTGTCTCACCTGGGCTTTCTTCGTGCAGAAGTTCCGCTAGTTCACATGCAACTGGGGCAGAGCAAGTGCTGCCAGCTGCACTTGGCCCCGCAGCCGCCCTGCTCCACGCAGCAGTAGCTGTCCCAGCAGGAGGATCTCCCATTGTCTGGCTGGCAGATGTCTCCCGATGCAGTGCCAGATCAGCCACTACCTTCTCTACGCCCCTGTGGATGATCCGATGAGCGGCGTAGAGGTGTTTTCTTTGGGATTGCCTCACTGTGCATAAAAAGAGGTAAGGCTTTTATTGGAAATGTACAGCAAAGCGTTCTCCGTAGGGGAGAAGGGAGGGATGGCTTTTAGCCTTCCTGCAGCTGTGGAAAAGGCTATTGCAGGGAAAAAATTACGCCCTTCTAACTTTGTCTGAAAGCGTTCTACTGCCACCTAATAGCAGCAACCAACCTTGCATTTCACTTTGAAGACTAGTCCCCACAGTGGGAAACAAAGGCAAAGTGTCTTCCTTTCCAGCTTAGGGAAGGATATGGGATAGGGATATAACTAGGATATAGGATAGGATATAACTGCCCAGGATATGTTACCAGGCTTTAAAATAACTTCTTCTTCAGTGTCTGTTAATTGCAGCAGGTGTCTGGAAGACAGGAGCTGAAGTCTGCCCTCTCCCTTGTGATGATTTTGCCCGCACCGAGAAACTCTTGCCGAGTTCAAAGACTTGGTGGCAGCGTAGACACAGTAAGTCACCTACCTTCTCGTCTCCGTTTTGCTACTGCAGGATTGTTCTTCAGTGTGTTTTACAGCGTTCAGCCAATCTAATTTGTATATTTTTCCAATTTTCTACAATTCTCTTAATTGCTCTTCACTGTTCTTTGTTCCCTCTTTCTCTCTCTAGGCTTATGCTGCTGGTGAACAACCACAAGGACTGAAATACTGTGTGCTTGTAAGGAGGCTGTGGGGAACGTTGCAGGAAGGAGCAGTGACTCGCCTCGTGTCACTTCCCTGCAAAAATCCCAAGGCTTCCTTGTTGCTTTGGTCTGTTTATGTTGCAAGGCTGAGCTGTACTGTACCTGTGAATCTGAACCACCACCATGCTGTCATACAGCTGCCTACTGCCACTGACTCCGTTGCTCAATGTTACTAACCTGTCCTGTTTATGTTTAGCCACCTCCCGGGTCCGTTTTATGGACAAGGGATGCAACTGGACCTCACTTGATTTTCAAAAGCTGACCTTCACCAGACAGCTCTGAATTCCCAGGAGGGCTTTTTCTACCCAAGGCATTCTGGCTTCAATCGTGTACGCATGAGCTGCATCAGCTATACCGGGTACACTCTCCTGGTATTGCTGCAGTCCCTCCCTCCACCCGCAGTCAATACCACCTAAAAGAAAGCAGGTTCATGTTGGTGAGTGATTGTCCTTTTAAAAGCAAGTTTTTTCGTATCAGCACATTGGCTCTACTTCCAGTGAGGGATGGGTCAGAAGCGAGGTGCAGATGGGTTTTGGGATGAGTCAGTATTGGATAATCCCTGCTTTTATGCATAGGAATGCAACCAAAAGAGGAGAAAAAAAAAAAAATCAGAGAAGAAAAGACTAGGTAATGGCAAAAGAGAGATGTTTAAGGGGAAGCTGAAGTGTAGGCAAAGACTGAACTTGCAGGCCCTCAAATCTTTGTTCTACAAGTGGATTTGCTTCTCTGGCAGGCCAGACAACTGCTCTCAGATCACTTCCTGCTGGCGTCAAGGAAGGTGTGTGCTCAAGCACGTGCCAGGTTGCTAAAACACAATTTCATAATGAATAATCTGGCTCACCACAGGAAAAGCTTTAAAAGCTGCCACAGAAATGCAATACACTGATGTGCTTGTGAAATCTAATGCCATTCTGTGATACTATTCCCTTTGGATTTACACGGAATAGTTACTGACTCTACTTCCTTGAAGGTATCACAGTGCAGAAGGTTTATAGCAAGGTGTGTTCACCAGAGTGTACATTTGGTAGAATTCAGCTCTCTGTTTAGTGTGTGGAGTCCCCTCCACCCTGTGCTGCAATAGCAGAAGAGAGTATGAGCCAGGTCTCTTCCTGGCATTTGATGTCTGCTGTCACAAGGATGTTGTGGCAAATTTCAGCTGACCACGTTTGAAGGTGGCCTTGTACTTTACCACCTATTGCTCTATCTCTTCCTCCAGCATCCATTTTCATTTTTGCCTGGGTCTAGCTGTGCTTTCCAGGAAAACCCACTGTAGCTATCACGGATTTTGAAGCTTTTTTTCCTTTGTTGTTTGTGAGTGCTCCTGAGGCGCTTTGTTCATCAGCTGCTGTTGCATTTAAGCCCAGTAGATATTTTCTTCCTTGCTAGTACCTCTGTATGTCCAGAATCCTAGGTAAAGGTCTTCTTTTTCTGTTCTCCTTTCTGAGACAGGCTAACCTGTGTGTGTTAGTGCCCGAGCTGCAGGCTTCATTGACTAAAATTACATCACCTGCTTTGGCAAGCTTGCAGAAGCAGGGCTAAGGAGAAGGGAGCTGATTTAAGCTTATGCAGAATTGCCAGCTGCTGAACAGACACTGCTGTTGTGACGAAGACACAAACTAGGAAGAAAAAGGTTTGCACAAGTCAGAAACCACAAAATGTGTTTGCAGCGTTTGGCTTTTCATTCATAAAGCAAGAAAAAAAAAGCAATGAAGTGCCTTTGTTCTCAAGTCAGAGAAGTACACTGCAGCAAGGACCACTTCAGAGCCTGTTGTGAGACAACTGCTTCTCCGAGGTGATATCCACTTTGTGTGGTGACTGGTTTAGTCACAGTCTTTTGAGTGTGCTGGTCAGTGGAAACATCCTAGTTAAGAACAGCCATTTATTTGTGATACTCAATGTAATACACAGGTTTCCAGGGCCTGCCCTCCCTGTGTTTTGATAGATATTATTCCACTTTGGCTAAACAGAAGCGTCCTGTACAACTGCAAGATTATCTACTTAAAACGTGATGCCACTACAACCAACCCTAAAACCTTATCTTTGCTTCTAGCTTTCAACCAATTGAGGGGGAAGGGGGAAAGCAAAGGAAATCATATAATCTTCCTTCTGCATATGGCATATATTGGAATAATGTTAAAGACTTCTCCAGTTTTTAAAAATTGCCATATGAGAGACAATTCACAGCCATGGTACTTAAATACTTTTCCCAGTTTGTTTTTGAAGGTGCGATGGTCTGCTGCTTCTCACGTAGTTTTATTGTTGCAGATACACCAAATTTACATCAGGTCTGAATTCAGGCCACCATTTTAAAAGACTAAAGCTCACAAGAAATTGGTGAAAAAGGGTCGGAGGGCTTAACTTGCCACCTGCAGAGTGCAAAAGAGGAATCTCAGAGAATTGAGACACCTCTTGGCTCTGCATCTTTCCTTTCGGTGAGCTAGGGTGAGGAGAGTGAACCAGTCCACAAAGAGAATAAAGTTACTGGACTCCTTACCTCTTTCTCTGCTAGCCATTTTCTCAGCTTCTGGAATCAGGAAATCATAAACCAGCTCTGCTACAATCTCTTCAGACTGTAGGTGAGTTCGACTACAGAACAGATGCAGAGTGGTATTAGTATTTTAATTTTCTTTGCAGATCACCTCTGCAAACACAAGACTTCCATGTAAATATTCTCGCTATTTTCAAGGGAGTGTACTGTCATGACAGAAATTGTCAGCTGGGTCTCTCCTTATCCCGCAAATCGGTGACAGTGTGACTCTTCCCCTTTGCACAGCCCTGCCAATGTGTTCAATACTGCACTGGAAAGCAGTATTCCCAGGGAGAAGATCATCCTTGAAGGTATTTAGGAGCCCAGTTCTCACTGATGACAAACTGAGTTAGACACGCAGAGACCTCTGAAGATTTGTGTCTGTGTCAATGTAGTCTTTGGCCCATTGCTGAATTTGCTAAATTCTTCCCTTTTGTGACTCTGCATTTGGCTGGGCCCCATGCTCTTTTCCATGCCAGTGTTTGGTGGGTTCCCAATTGGCCCAGGGGCTGCATGCATTATCTACGCTTCATTCTCCCCAAGGATTTCAACATTCTGGTCGTATTCATCTAGTTACAAAATACACAGCTGCTGTACCATAGGAGAGTCACTGTGTCATTGGGATTTTTATGGCTCAATTCCAAAAAAAGAGCATAGAAACTGAACTGGAGGTTGGGCAGGTCCCAATAAGTATTCACTGCTGATGGCCCAGCCAAACACAAGACTGTGGTGTTCTCAACAACTTACTCGACTCAAAGTGCCTTGTCAGGCAGCCATCAATATGACTGACCCCCATGGAAATTGGCAGTTTCTTAAAGAACAGCCACCCCAGAATGAAGGACTGCTGTATAGCTGTATCTTTTAGCATCTCTTTCAAACTGATTTTCTGTAGCAGTGTAAATAAATGAAAAGACCAGTGTGAATGGGTATTGCTTTAGGCAGTTCCCAGATTCACTTAAAGCTCAGTTGCGGCATCACATTGGCATGGAGAAGTCTAAAAAGGGTGATTCACAGATCCCACAAGTGATTTGCAAAGGGAATCTGGCACATGCTCTATAGAAACAAGGCTCTGATGGATTTATATGCGTGTACCAGGTAGTAACAGCGTGGTTCCCATACAGCGGTCACACTAATGAAGTGATCACGGACAGTACTGCTCTGCCCTTCCCATGGCTTGGATTATACACATCACCACAGGTGCAGACGGTCAGGCAGGTTCTGAACTGCCCTAAACAGCCTCTAATGTGCCATTTAATAACATACCGACTTTCCATTTCGTAAGCAATGTCATTGATTTCTACAGCCATTCTCTGAACCTCTTCCCTGGCTTGCTCCTCGGCTGTGCTCTCCATGCTGCTTAGGATAATGTCTTCCAAGTAGGAGTCAATAGTGCTCTGCTGCATTTTCACCACCTGGAACAAAACACCAACATGTTGTTCCTCTGCCTACTGCAGTGCCAGGAGCATGGTGGACGCAGATTTCCAGGGAAGCAAGAACAACAGATTTTCACCAGACTCTTAATTCCAGGCAGGCTAGCCTGAGATTTGGTTTCAGAGGCTGAATTGAATGGAAACAAGAGCAGGAAAGAACCAGTGGTGGAAGAAAAACTTCTCCACAGATCCCATTCTGCTGCAGCAGGTTAGTTACATGAATGCAACGGCCATCGCTTCCTCAGTTCTCATGGTCCCCTGAGCAACACCTGCGAAATAATCATCATCAGTATTTACTCCAGCAAATTAATCGGCTTTCATTCAAGCAAATCCTGTAGGAAAAAGTTCCATCAAGCCAGTCAAAGTAACATAAAAAAATCCAAGATAAAATTATTGGTTTCCTTATAATGGTTGTAGAGCAGAGATTCTAGAAATGGATGTTTTCCTTCTGCCAGTCTGAAGGACGTAAGCTGATGGCACTTCGACCCTCTTGCTTCCCACTCAGAGATGCAGAAAAGATAAGAGGAGAAGCTAAAATTAAAAGAAAAATAAACATGATGCCTGGCTTTCTTGGTATTAACCTCCTCCCACAAAGTTTGAAAATTATTGGTTTAGTCAATTAGGCTCCCACTCATTCCTTTCAACTGGGAGAAATATGCTTCGTGCCGTCAGGAGCTAGGGAGTAGGAATGGGACTGTAGAATAGTTATGGAATATGGTAATTCAAGATTTTTCTTTGAAGATTTCAAGGTTATGTTGTCCACTATCATTATTTCAAAATAATTTTTATACCTCTTGTTATTTGCAGTCCACTTTTGTGGGGCAAAGTCTTTCCAAAACCTTGCGTAAAGGCATCCTTCCTGGGACAGCACATAATAGTTCTGCTGGACAGACCAAGCACTGACAAAACATTATTCCTAAAGATGATCCAGGTACATCTGCTCTCCATAGGTGTTTGTCATGGAAATTTAGAAACCTACATCCATTCATGACACACCTAACAGGACTGTCTGTAGGGGTATTCAAATCATCCTTAATTTAATGGGCATGACTTTAGGAAGGAATCACCCCCTCTTCACTAAGCCTTCCCCCTCAATTTTAAAACTACCTATCACCAAAGGGAGGGCTGAAGCACCTCCCCTCCATCTGGACCTTCCCACAAGGAGGCAGTTCCTACAAACCGCCCACAGTCCCACCAGTCTCCCTCTCTTGCCTGCTTGAAAAATTCATCTTCTTCCTGACACCTCCTCTCTTCCACCTGACGTCGTCCGCTCTCCTCTGCTTCCCGCATCCGCCTCTGCCTCTCAGCCAGCATAACAAAAGCGTGGATCTTCCGTTCTTCCTGCAGCCTCACCAGCTCTTTGGACAGGAAATCAAATATGTTCGCCAGTACTCTTCCCTCTTCCCTGGCCAAGCGCTTTTCCGCTGATGACAGCTTTTAAGAAAGAAATGCAAAGAATTGTGTCACAAACCCCAGGAATGTTGTTCGAAGTCCCAAGACTGCCACAGGCGTGTGAAACAGCTTTGCAACATCCACTCAGACCAGCCATGGGACAATCCTAGGAGACTTGCATTCTTCTTGTTTTACATGTGCTGGCCTGGATTCTGCATCATGTAACATTCCTGTATGCAGGCTCTGATGGCATAAAGAAGCTAAAAGATGGCAAACCTAGTCAGGGTGGGACTATACCAATACTGTCACGCTACGACACACAGCCTCTATGCTTGGATGGGTGGGATGTAAGAGATAAAGCACTAGATGCGCTGTATTCCAGGTATTGTGAACCGCTTTTGGGGCTGTGAGTCTAACCAGAATAACTGCTGAGGCCATCTGCTTGTTACTGGGGAATTCTCTACTGCCCAGACCAAGAAAGGGAAGGTAGAAAAGTGACAATGAAAAGACTTCAGCTGCATACCCTCTATCTTTCTGTGCCAAGCTTAGATACACCAGAACAGAAAAACAGGATCAAAAGTTACAAACGAAGCTTCCTTCTAGCATTTGGTGAGTAAACTCTTAATCTTTATGAGTAGGAAGCTTTAGTAAAGGTTTAGGAAGCTGTGCAACTGTGAGTACAGCCACATTTCTATCCTCTCCTAAGGATACAAAATGTTTGTTACAGTTCAAAGCCACTTCAGTGAAAGGGTACATCTTTGGTTGGATATTCATGTGACCAAAGTGATTCAACTTGCTGAGATAATACAGCAACCATGAGTCCCTACAGTTTTAGGTACTGAGTTATTACCTAAAACCGTACAAGTTACTAACTGCTAACAAATTCAAATCAACAGTAATTATACTAAGTTTGCAAAAGCGTAAAGGAGACCTCAAAATTCCAGGTAATGGAAAATCAGAAAGTCTGTGACAGAGCTGAGACTAGATTCCAAGTGTTTTACAGAGTAAACCTGAACATAAAACACAAAATGGAGCTGAAATGTCCCAGACGAGTAGCAATAAATCAGCTTTCTTACACTGCTGTGCCATTTACTCATGCAGTGTTTCAAAGAAAGTGTGATTGTCGGTGTTGCACACATCTGGAAGTGACAGTGCTTAGCCCATGGCTGTTTGAGATGGTGGATGGCAATGCAGTAACTGCACCAGTCCATAGGGAGCTAACATGCTGCTTCCTCTTTATTGCTCCAGGTGCTGTGCCTAAAACTGGTGGGACATGCAGGAAACCAACCCAGGAACACTCTTGTCTTAGACTTTTGTTACATGCGACGTTGGAAATTTTCAACCCCTCATCTTTGACCATTTTATCTGAAGTTTCTGCCCTCTTTCTGCAGGAAGCATTTCTTGAAAAATGCCTCTTTTTATACTGGAAAGGTCAAAAACCTGAAAAAAAACTGTGACCACCAAAAACCAAAGAACTGTGAGTCACCACTGACTTTCTAAAACAGCCACACACATAGAAAACTCTTGCAAGTGGATTCCAGAGGGTTTTAAAGTTCAAAATGTTTGAAGACCTAAGCCTTGGATTGTGTGCCTTCAGAGACATAGTAAAAAAAAAAGCGCAAGAGTAGAGGAGGTAGATACCAGTAGAGGGGGATAGTGGCTCTCCCAAAAGGAAATTCTGAGATCAAAGGTCAGTATCTTCACCATTTGCTCTCTCTCTTTCTCTATGGATGTCATTATGGTGGCTGAACTGCTCTTTCCTTCACTCTCACCTGGGCTTCCAGAAGAGAAGGAGCATTTCAAGCCTAAGGCTTTCATTTTTCTCTTAATTCCTTAGTAGAAAAATTCCGTATTCCTGCACTCCACACCTGGGCTCCCTGTGTATGAGGGAGCATCTGGAAATTATAAACAGTAAAATACAGTAACCCAGTTCAACTTTTACTGAGATCTGAGGGGAAATTTTGTTGCTGCCCACCCAGCAGGAAGCAGTAGTCTGGCTTCATCTCTGCCAGGCCAGCTGGCCAGCGGATGCTGCTAGCATAATCTGCAACCTGCACAATTGCCTCACAGCTGGTCACTGCAAAACCAGGAGAGTAGAAAAAACTCTAGGAAAATCTGTGGGAATGTGGGAGATACTGTATATCTGAGATGCAGTGAAGTCTGGACAAAATTTCGCTAAGATCCATCTCAAACCAGCATCTACCATTTGAGTCACTTTGCTCTGGAAGGTTGTGGCCCTGCAAGGAAATAGGATGAGAATTTGCATCCCTAGCTCTCACTAGATCCTCGGCAGAGGATGGAGCCCAAAATTTCTCTGTTCTCTGTAACAGTGGCGGGTACAACAATGTGACACCATTGCTAAGGTCCTAGAAGTCTCGAGCCCAGGGAGATTTACAAAGGAAGTCCGGTTTGGCTTCTTTTTGTGATGTTTTATGCCTGAGGAGGAGCTTGAGAGGGTGCCAAGCTAGAAAAAGAACAGGGAAATGACAGAGCAGTAACACACATTCAGTCAAACATCTGACAGACGTGAGTGACAAGCAGGTACTGTGACGCCAGGTCACAGCACCAGTCCAACGGATTGAAATGTGGGAAAATGGCAGAGGTTCGCCCGACAGTGCAGTTTGTTCAAGGCCCTGTAAATATAAGTGTGTGCTCTGTCTGCTAACAAAGCAAGAGCAGCCTGGGTAGCAGGTGTGCTCAGGGCGCCTCAGGCTGTTTCTGAGATTCCCTGGGGCCCCCAGAGCCGGGAGAGCAATTTTCAATGCTTGGCCTGTGCTAGGGGAGTGTTTTTGTTACTTTCTGTGCTGGGGAGAATACAAAATGTGAAGAAATTAAATGCCAGAGTGTTGGTGGTAGTGCAAGCACAGAGTTCCTGGTCAGGACAGCGTTGTGAATCAGCCCTCCCATCTCTACAGGCAAACCTTGTGCATTTGCAAGTCATGCTGTTGCTGTAGAGCCAGTGTCATTTGCTCCTCTGCCTTCAAAAGCAGCTGTCCGTCTTCCTGGAGCGCGTGAGTGGTGCGCAGCTCTCGGATCAGTTCCAGCCGCTTCTCCTTCCCTTCAAACATCTTTAAAATAAAGTTAAACAATCAAGCATATTAAATGGAGAATATGGATCAACACGTTTGGCTAGCAGAGCACTCTCTTTTTCTCCAAGTTGCATGGTCAGCTGTTTGACCAAGTTCTTTGTAACAAATTTGTGGCCACATTTAGGCAAATGCTACAGCTGTCAGGGAAATCTTGCCTAAACCCTCCCGCTTAGAAGATGAAAGTTGAGACCTTTTGTGGAGTATAGATGATCCCTTAGTACTTTATTATGAAGTAATTCTTTTAATTATTCTGTTTAGCATTAAACCACTGGAACGCAGAACAGCAACACCAATGTCAAGTGAAAAGTGCAACAGCCTTTTGGATATCCTGTTATATCAGCCTCAGTGTCAAAGCTTCCCAGCGTTGCCCCTTTTCCTCAGTCCAGGGTTAGATGGCTCTTGTTTCAACATCTACTGTTCTCTTACCTTTGTTCTGAGGCAGTCCAGCAACAGCACAAAGTAATAAATTGGTGGGGAAATCGTTGAAACTGCTGCTGTCCCTGTTATGGGGTTATGTGGCCTCCCCCTTCCCTGACACTGTCCTATTTTCATTCCCCCTCTCTTCCAACAAGACTTCCAACAGCAACAAAGGATCACTCAATCCTGCTCACGTCACCCTCAACTGTGTCGTATATTTCTGATCCAGTAGTAACTGGAAGGAGATTCCTAAAACGATGGGACATTTCACAATGTGAAAGTTGACAGTCCTGCAATGGCATCAGACATCCTTCTCATAGACGACCACAGAATTGGAGAGGACTTGAGAAGTCTCTATTCCACCTCAAGCCACTTTCACAGCATTGCATTGTTTGCTAAAGCTGAGGTCAGGGCCCCAAATGGAACACTTCACAAACATTAAATAGTGCAAGAGAGAGTATCAATTATATTCTTAGCAGGCATGAAAACAAACCTTTTGGACTGGTCTGACCAAACGGGATAGACTTGCTTAATATAAAGCCCATAATTTCATAGATTTCATAGATTTCATAG